TTAGGCGAATAAATTGTTAATTGCTAAAGCAATAAACGTCACGTTTATTACGTGAATTCATCTAAACAAAACTATAATTGTGTAGTATTTGATAAGCACTAAAGTTTGTGATGTGGGGTGAACATTTCATTGACTTTCTTAACTGTTTATAAATAGTTATTAGTAATTAGAGTATTTTAGTTTATTGTGGCATAAATTGAAAACAGGCGCAAAGTCAACCTCGTTCCCAGGCTATTTGCTCTTGGGAAGCAAAGACCCTGGTCGGAGCTGGTCACGTGACGCATTGAAAATTGATAGCCCAAGAGGGGGGTGGAAAAGTCTCATATTACATGTTTCCACTTCCGCACTTCGATTGCAAGGAGTGGCCGTTCTGTACAATCATTAATTCGGTTAGCACTATTTTCCATCCAGCAAACTGACCTGACGTCATTTTCGCAAGATAGAAGAGGTGTTAAATGGTTATGTAACTAACCCAAACGCTACCCCTACTCTAACCCCTAACCCTAACCTCAACCCTAACTCTAACCCTAACCGAATTAATAAAAAAATCCAAAAAGAAACGACTTTACAAAATCGATAGGGCGGTTTGCTGGATGGAAAAAAGTGCTGACCCATTAATTCATCTTCAAGAATCATATATACCTCAAACTACTTGCTAAATTGGTTTCAGTTTGCTTTTAAATTATACAAACATGCTAAAATGCAGATTCTTATGGCAACAGAAAATTCAGGAAATCAAGCAACGAGAACATATGACTGTACGCTTTGAAATATTTTTATTTTCTCGGGGTTCGCCGGTTCGGGCGTAGTTTTATTTCACGCATACGTTTCTGTTGTGGCTCTGATATTTATAATATGCTTATAATATGCCAATGAATTCTTCTGATATGGACATGGTATAAATTTTGTTAAACAGATGTCTCGAAAGCGACTGTTTATAGGTCGTAGGATTAGCGCCTTGCCGGTCTTAAACGTGACACATTTGGACACAAGCCAAATACACATTGTGAATGTCCATTCTATTGATTCTAAAACTGTTTATAGACATATTGCTCTAGATTTTTTTTAAATGGCTATCATCGTTTATATTAAACACCAGGAAGACAAAATATAACGTACAAAATTGTTTGAAATCGACAGTGCACAGCTGTCATACGACAATTCATAACTGCAAGAATTTCCTTTTTTGTCTGCACGAGTACCTGTTTGTTGAAGCCAAAATATTGCACAGCATCTCCTATAAATTCTATCGCGATTTACCCTCTCCCCTTAAATGCAAAGGAATGACAGCCGAAAAGGTTTAGCAAAGTATTTTTTATTATATCTGGTATAAAGTGTCCTACGTTTTATCAGGGATATACATAATTCATAAACTGTATATGCACACGAAGTCTCGCTTATATTAATGAGTTTTACTGTAGCAAACCTTTTAAAGTTTCCATTGATAGATAGGTTGTTTGCCTCCAGTATTGTTTGGTAAAACAGACTAAACTTCTAAAATGACGATTCCAGTATACGATAAAGATTAAAGTTGATTTAAATATTGATAACTCACAGCGGCATTAATCCATTATGCAAGTCTAAAGAAGCTGGATTATTCTTCAATAAAGCCCTCAATGGACAATGCCAATGTCAATGAAAGGTCTAATATTATACATGTTGCAAATTACTGTATATACAAAATATGAAATAATTTATATAAAGTACAATACCAGTGTCTGGTGCATATATCGTCCTAGATATTCAAGTTGTACCGCACGCACGGAAACGCACAGAGGAGTCTTGGCGTTTGTGTGATAACAGATAGCTAGCTACACTTCGACATTATCTTTCTTGATCGTTGAGTTTCAGCAATGTAAATGAAATGAATTTTATAGCCAGTCCATAACGGGTTTTAATCCTGTGCTTTTACAGTCAGAATAGCACTATTATTTACACATGCATGTTGGCGATGTTTGGGAAATCAAAGACAAAGGATCCCGTTATAAAATAAATCTTTTGTTTTGAATATCGGACAGGATACACTTCAACTATAAAGAACCATATCGTTCGTTTAATACCGTTTGATCGATCAGTCTGTGTAGAAGATATGTATGTTTCTACGGCGATACGTGCTAAACTTCGCAGCCAGGCGCGTGTGGAGTGTTTTCCTTGCAAGTGAAATATGATCCAGCTTCTCGCTTGAAATGTAACGCAACACTTATTATTGATGACATTCAGTATAGCAGGAAGTCTTGTCATGATCGGTACGAATTTAGAACAGTTCCTTTCACAATCTCTTGTTGCAAATTACATTTTTATCACCCGACATTATAACACATAAAGTTGCAATTTTCCAAACGCAACAAACAGACTACTCTCCTACCCCTCCCTGAGATCAAATTCAATTTACCCCCAAAATCTGGGGGTTCACGTGACCAGCTCCGACCAGGGTCTTTGCTTCCCAAGAGCAAGTAGCCTGGGAACGAGGTTGGCGCAAAGTACAGTTTGATCGGAAGTATAATTGACTATTGTACAAGATTTTAGAAGTTATGTACTAATAAAACAAAAATTATAGTTTGTGTATGTCTTTTTCTGGACTCTGTAGCTCAGTTGGTTAGAACACTGCACTGAAATCGCAGGTTCGATTCCTCCCAGAGGTTCAAAACCGTAATTAAGTTGGTAGACTCGGTGTACGTCTGACATGTCTTGACATGAAACATGATTGGACTGATGGGGCTACGTTTTATGTAAATCAACAATATTTTGGATGAGATATGCCAGTTCCTTCGCGGACCGCTGTCATGAGGAGGATAGACAGGTTCAGATTCAACTTCCACTACCGCTACCTTTGACGGCGACGGACTGTTTAGACCTGTTCAGATTAGACTTCTCCCGACGACCATAAATCGCTTTGTTACGGTCCCAAAACAAAAACATGCGACGATTTCCTCACGCTCTTGCAGTTACTGCGCATGCGTAACACATTTAAGGTAGCGATAGTGGTGGTAGTTGGTGGTAGAAAGTAGTGGTAGTGGAAGTCAAATCTGAACCTATCTAATGTTGATGTGACGACAGTTTGATGAGTTAATTTCATACTCACCCTGATTGTTCAAAATACTTGAAAATCCCTATTTTCGTGTTCTATTGGGTTTTTCCGCTTCGGCCGTTCCAAATCCGTAGTTCCGGATCCGCGTCAGATTCCAACTGGATTCCAAGGCTGATCTCAATCAAGCCCGCGAGTGCCTGCTTTGCAGGCAAACCCTAATTTAATAGAACTGTTTATAGAAGCGGAAGTATAAGTGTTTCAAAACATGGCCTGCTTTTTTGCTCATTTCAATTTGCTGTATAATTTACTTTATACAAGATAAATCTTGTAAAGAAATGAAAGCAGTGAAGAACAGACAAGATGAAATTAAGAAAGAAGTCAAAGAAGTTAAGAAAGAAGTAAAAGATGTAAAAGAAAGTATTTCAAAAGTGAACAAAGACGTGGACGAAGTCAAAGTGATGATGAGTCAAGTGTTAGAGAAGTTAAATATGCTTGAACAGCTTAACAAACTGCCATCTCCAACTGAGGGAATGTTGAAGACACCAAGGGAAGACATTTTGATTGCAGGTGGTGACATTTTGAGTCTAACTAGTAAAAATGTAGAAATATATTCCTGGGAGAAGAATGGTTGGTTTGAAGTGTCACCAATGAATGAAGTGCATCATGGGGCTTCATCATTTATTTATAATGATCAGTTATTTGTTGTTGGTGCAATGTATAGCAAGACAATAGAGACCTTGGATCTCAATGAATTGCCTTTGAAGTGGATGAAATATCCTGGAGAACTTCCTTATCTGAGTGATGATCATCAAACTGTTGCTTACCAACAGCACATCATTCACATCGGTGGATATAATTATGACCAATTGAGACGGTCTGACATGATTGGTCAATTGCAACTTACCTCACCTTGCACTATGAAAAAGTTATGCCAAATGCCTGAGCCACGAGCTTGTCATGGTGCTGAGACTTCTGAAGATAAAGTCCTGGTTTTGGGAGGAGAAGATCGTAATGACGGCCCTTTAAATAGTGTGTTGGAGTTTGATGTAAAGAAGAATGAGTGTAAGAAGATGCCACCATTACCACATCCCTTGACGAGAATGGCAACTGTTCACTGGAGAGATCAAGTAGTTGTACTTGGAGGGCGTGATGAGGATCGTCAAGCTCTGAGTGATGTTTTCATGTATGACTGCAAGACGGGGAGGACCACAGCTTTACCATCCATGTTGGAGAAGAGATATGGATGTTGTGCAGTTATTACTGGAAATACCATTGTAGTGATGGGAGGTGCAAATGAGAAAGGTGAACATCTCAGTTCAGTGGAGTGTTTTACAATGGGAGGTTCTACATGGGAGTATCTTCCTGCCATGAATGAAGCCAGGTACGGAGCAGTTGCTGAAGTTTTACCTTCCACAAGAAAATATGTGTAAGTTTGACACTTAGGTAAAATTTCCTGGGTTTTCAACCACTAAGAGGGGATTCTCGACTAAGGTAATCTTATAAAGAGTGTCTCGACAAAGGTAATCTCTGTTTGGCATGTTATTGTGTATTACATAGTTTATTACATGTATATAGATACTTTTTCTATATCAGTAAAGATCAGGCCATTGGTTGTTAAATCATTCTGTGATGAAACATGGCCAAATATGATCAGATTTAAACCATTGAGTGCCAGCGTTCTCCCCTTGAACTAGGCAACTTGCAACTTTAATCAGTTAACTAGATGCATAGCCTCTGTGCATAGCCAGGGATGCCGGAAAGTCGATAATTGGGGGGGGGG